CAGTGAGTTTGGTTTGGTTTGGTTTAACATGATGTAACTGCACAGTTGAACTGCCTTATGGATCCATTTCAGTGATCCCATATGCAAGAAAGAAGTAAATCAATTAAATAAAATTTCCTACTTATGTGAAGGAAATGAAAATCCAAGATTTACAAATTCATATAATGCTTAATCTCTAAACTGCAACATTACCACAGCATAATAGAAGAAAATGTTTCTTTCATTATTTTTGTTGGCTAATTCCCACATAAAGAGAAAATAAGGTCTACTTTAGAGATAGAATTAGACTATGTCTGTTATTTTTCTGGTATCGTCCTTCAACAACTATCCCTGCAATATTAAAGAGAGTGCTCATTTCCTAGTGGATGTGTACTGTGTACACATTCAGGATTGTAAAGAAGAAATTGGAAGTGTTATAACCTGCTATCAACATTCATTCTGCACATGTCTGGCAGGTTTAATAGATCTGAATATGAAAAGTGAATAAAATAAAGGCAGTTATCCAGATACATTCCTGCCAAAAGAATAGTTTTACCTAAAACAGACAGCTATTTAAGACAAAGTAGTATTGTTTGTATGTGAACCCTAAATAATCCCATAATATTTTCCCCTGCTTGAGTAGACACAACCTTCAGAGTTATCTGCTTTATAACTTCATAGTCAGAAATTCTCAGGCCCAAACTCATTTCTTTAAGGGGCTTTTGAGGAAGATTTACAAAAGTATGTCTATTTTCAAAATTGTAAGCTGGAATTGGTTTGCTTTTGCAGATATGATGACCCAAATCTCCTGCAAAATGTCCTTTAAAAATATGCAATCATTTGATTCATCAACTGGTCTAAATACTAAATTGCCTTCTATTACTTTAAACAGATTTATATGTTTCAAAGCAGGAGAGAAAAGGCATTAAGGAAAAGCCAATATGACATTGCTGCTTCAATATTCTAATAAAGAATGCTGAACTTTTACATTAAAAAGCCTCTTTGAATAAATAAGCTACATTTATGATAACTAAAGACTACCATTGTATAGGATATTTTTAATGACTCATAAACTGCATGCATGCACAGAGAATACTATGAAAGTTTCTCACTAAGATGCTATGAAGAAACAACAGTGCAGACTCCTAAACAAAGCTCTTAGTGCAGCACAGATGCACAAATGGGAGCAGATTGTACATATTCTCTTAATACAGGCCCAGTACACCATTGTGTGCTATTTTTGTCATCGGCATAAGACAATCAATTTTACACACATTTTTTTTTTAAGCTATACTAGTGCCAGATATTACAATGCTAATATTCAGACAACAGAAGTCAAATTCTGGAGGTGAAAGGGGGAAGGAGCTGAGAAATATCAGAAATCACATTTGGAGCAGTTGTTGAAAGGCTAAGACTAAACAGAAATACAGTTTTGGCTAGACAGGGATGGAAAGAGGTACAAGCCAGATTATGATCATTGTAATGCATCATTTGCAATAATACTGTTAAGAAAAATCCTGTAAAAAAAAAAAAAAAAAAAGTGAGATGACCCTTAGGGTCTACTGAATTTCTTTGAGGCTGTAAAATTCCTCTCGCTTAACCAGATGTTACCAAAGGAAAAGAATATGTACAAAAACATTCATCACCTGGCAACCTGACAACTTTAAAATGATGCCCATTACTACTACTGCTTATAATCACTATACTTTTTACTTAGACTCTACTGAGAGACAAATATTCATATTTAGAACAGTGGTTACAATTTCTTTCACAAATTTAAAAAAGTCAATTATCTCCTCTTTTTGCCGTTCATTCTAACAGTACTTGCCAAAGGAAACAGCTCATTGATTTTGGATTTGGATACTCATACAATGTGTCCAAGTTTTCCCCATAATCAGTCTGGACATTCTATTTCTCCTACTTATGGAACATTGAAAATCCTTTCTCCTATTTATATGTAGCTGCCTGAGAACACAAAGCTCCTTCTTACCTGTGTGGTAAAACTTCCCTGAAAATCCAAGGTTGAAGGTAAAATTTGCAACCTGAGTGCGCAGTATATTTTGAGTCTCTAGTAATGCCTGAAATAAATAAGAAATTAACATGATTTTAGAATAATATGAAGCTTTAAGCTGCCTCTTTTTCAAATGCTTGTGAATGAATATGACAAAATAATAGGGGTTTTCCTGCTTTTCTGAGTGTTAGATGGTACTGTTATGTGCTATTCAAAATTCAACTCTTCTTACTATTATTATTGTTATTTTTATTAAAGATTATCAGATTATGAAACAATTAAGTCCTAAGCACATTATACTTTGCTGAGGCAGTTCTCCAGCTACACAGTACTGAAATAATTTTTCTTTTTTTGTGTGAGACATTTTTTAGACTTCAAATTATTATACTTCCTTTCTTGGGGAAAGGAGCTCTGGTGGCATAGTGTGTAAGGCATTTGGCTGCTAACCAGAAGGTTGGCAATTCGAACCCATCAGCTGCTCCACAGGCTGAAGATGAGACAACCTACTTCTGTAAAGATTTACAGCCTTGGAAACCCAATGACAGTCTCTATGAGTATGAATCAACTCGATGGCAGTGGATTTGGTTTTGCTTTCTTGGCGAAAGCTTTTTCAAAATTGTTGAATGTAGACAAATTCTATAGTTGTTTTAAGACATAGTTGCTGATTTGAAGGTTTAAGTTATCAATCTACACTAAAGACTAATAAAATAGGACATTCATATCTAGAGATATGAAAAAGCAAAACATAGGCAAGAGATGTTAAGTAACCAAATATTTAAAGAACTATTCTCTAAAAATGATAAATATTTCCCTACTTTCTTAGATAAGGAGTCTGACTATGTTAATGTCTTTTTCTTTCTAGACAGAATAAAAATCAACTAATATTAAATTTAGAGTCATATTTAGTTGTGGAAGTTTTCTGTGAATCTTTCCTCTGCTCCTATTCTTATGTCAACACATGTAGCACAATTTAGAACTCTCATATCTTCAGGCTTTTTGATTTGCTCAGTAGCTCTGGTAGTGCAATGGTTAAAGTATTGGGCTTGGAACCAAAAGTTTAGCAGTTCAAACACACCAGAGAAAGATGAGGCAATCTGCTTCCGTAAAGATTTACAACCTTAGAAACCCTATGGGGCAGTTCTACTCTGTCCTATAGGGTCAGTATGAGTCGGAATTGACCCCGTGGAAATGGGTCTGTTTTTTTGTTTATTAGTCTAATATTACTCAGAATGCTTTTATTATTTTGTTTTATTGAGTTTCCCCCCTGGGGACTAATTTAAAACTAGAGACAGTGGTTTTTGATAACTGATATCCATCTGTTCAGGTGAGTAGAGTCAGAGGTTTAGATAATTTCTTTTGGAACACTAGTTATGGTGGCTAAGGAATTATTTAAAGAATTTGTGAACTTAACTTTTTACACTCTCAAAATTAAGATCTTCTACAAATTAATTTACATTAGGAAAAATAAAAAATAAATAAATAAAATGTTGATAAGCTTTGTAGTCATTGTTATACAAGATCACGGTTTTGCTGAGTACATAATCCTGGCCAATCTTATTTAAATATTATCCATTACACCAACAAAGGTAAATAATTTAGACAGTTTAAGCCACTTATAAGATATATAACAAGGTGTCTATTCTCAAAAAGAAAAAGCTAAATATTAATAAATGAAATAAAAAAGTGTAGTTTATTGAATTAGTTGGGCTAACTGGTAAATGCTGTGGAATATAGGCTTAAAATAAGAAGATCATGCATCTTCTTTTTCTTAGTCAGTACCTTTTTCTAGATTTCCTGTTTCATTCAGTACAAATTCCTTGAGACTCAGTACCTTGAAACAGCCTTATTTATTTAACTTATTTAACTTCTCCCTCTGTTCTTCTCCCCTTTCCAACCTCATTTATTTAATTTTCTACCTCTGAGTTACATTCTACATATTCATTTATTCAGCATTCATTCAATTCAGTAAACATTTATTGTAAGAACTATCATAGTCAAGATGAACTGAGTGTTGAGTTTAACAAGTATGACCAATCTCGAATCTTCCTGCCTAGTTAGGGAAAGAGATACTAAATATATCATCACACAACTATGTAATTAGAGCTTGTGATAAGTGCTAGGAATGAAATCTAGAGCATGCTCTGATGGATGTTATTGAAAAAACCAAAGCCACTGCCATTGAGTTAATTTTGACTCATAACGACCCCCACTGGGTTTCCGAGGTGGTAAATCTTTATGGAAGTAGATTGCCCAGTCTTCCTTCCACTGAGTGGCTGGTGGGTTTGAACTGCCAACCTTCTGGTTAACGGTCAAATGCCTTAGGCACTATGCCACCAGAGCTCCTTGATAGATCTGGTGCTATCATTTCTGTCCAACTCATAGAGAACCTATGTGCAATAAAATGAATTACTGCCCAGTCCTATATCATCAACACAATCGTTTTTGTGTTTGAGGCCATCCATTGTTGCAGCCACTGTGTCAATCCACTTTGTCAAGGGTCTTTCTGTTTTTCAGTTACTTTGCAGTTTACCAGCATGATGTCCTTTGTCCAGGGACTAGTTCTTCCTGATAATACTCTAAGCTATGTGAAACTTTCTCACTATCCTTGCTTCTAAGGAGCATTCTGGTTATACTTCTTCCAAGAAAGATTCGTTCATTCTTGTGGCAGTCCATGGTATATTGAATAATCTTCACCAATATTATAATTCAAAATAATGAATTTTACTTTGGTCTTTCTTATTCATTGTCCAGCTTTTACATTCATAATGTGATTAAAAATGCTTTTTAAGACTTTAAGGAGGTCTTTTGCAGCAGATTTGCCCGAGGTAATATGTCACTTCATTTCTTGACTGCTGCTACCGGGGAAATTGATTACGGACCCAATGAAATCCTGGACAACTTTAAAATTTTCTTTGAATAGATACAATGGAGAAGCTTAATTTAGATTAGAGGAGTGACCAGAGTTTTTTGGTGTTTTCTTAGGGAAAATCCAATAAGAATCTATTTCCCCCTCCCCCCCCCCCAATTTGCTATCACTTTAGGCAAGGCTTCATTTAACTTTTCCCTTGTTGTTGTTGTTATGTGCTGTGGAGTTGGACACGACTCATAGCGATCCCTCCTTGGGTTTCCAGGTGGTATCACTATGGAAGTAGATTGCCCAACCTTCCTTCCGAGGAGTGGCTGGTGGATTTGAACCTCCAGCCTTCTGGTTAGCAGTCAAGTGCCTTAGGCACTATGCTACTAGAGCTCCTCACTCTGCAAGCATACAAACACCCTAAGATAATAAGTGCAGCTCTTGGAACCATGGAGGCCATTTAAAGATTCAACTTTGTCAACTATTTTATTTTTACATGTTATTATTCTAAGGATAAGTCTTGCCTGATACCTTGTAAGAGCCCAATAAAATCAAAACCAAATCCATTGCCGTGGAGTTTATTCTGATTCATAGCAGCCTTATAGGGCAGAGTAGAGTTGCTCCATAGGATTTCCAAGGCTGTAATCTTTACAGAAGCAGATTGCCAAATCTTTCTCTCACAGATCAACTGGTGTGTTTGAACTGACAACCTTTAGGTTAGCAGCCAAATGCATAACACCTATGCCACTGTCCTTAAGAACTCACTAAGTGCTGTTTATTGACTTCTAAATGAATGTCATTCTCTCACCACTAATCTTTTGTGGTTCCACATTTCCAATGAAGCTACTTCTCATCAATTGCCATGCATTGCTAGTTCCCATTGATTACCATTACTCTATCTCCTACTTCCCACATTTCTTCATGCATTTAGCTAATTAACACCAACAAAAGTAAATTTATCCATTCCCATTTCCTGGAATGCCTGACCTACTCAAACTCCATAACCAAGTCCTTCCATCTTCTGAAGATCTTCCAAAATGCCACCACTTTGCATGAAGTCTTCCCTGATGTCTCAAAGATATTCCTTTTTTATGATAAACCACAGTATGTTTCTAAATTATTTTTCTTAAGACTTAAATCATTTTCTGCTTTACTCTGGTTAATACAGTATTTGCTTGTTATTTCTCCCTCTAGACAGTAAGCTCCTGCAGGTTGATCAGACTTTATGCATATCTCATGTTGCTAAATATTTTTTCTTATATGTAGAAGCCATTCAAAATATGATAAGTGCATATATTAATGCACAGAAATAAAATGAATTAGTCACTATTTTTAGTAACAACTTCTGATATTAAAATGATCACAACAGCTCGTTGCCCATATCATAAAATATTACAGAACAATATAGACAGTGTTCCATATTTTACCAACATGTTTTATAACCTATATGTCTTATTGTATTATAGATGCTCTAGGAAATAAGATAAGCTCACAGAAGTGAAGACAAATGAATCTACTTCCACTGGTGTTAATTAGCTGTAAAAAGAATTTGACAAAACTTTCCAGTGTTGAAAGAAATAGAGATGTCTTATCACAGCTTCCTAATATGTAATCTTAATTAATGTGAGAGTGAAAATGACAGATTCTATAGGTAAAGACAAAACAAATGTATTTTTAAAAAGCAAATTTTTAAAGCTTTACACTGTCCTACTTCAGTGCAAGTAAATGATATTTAGTTTTCAAAGTTTCGAGAAAGGAAGTTTCTATGTCTTTCTTTAATAAAGAAAGAAATAATAATTAATACATCTAAATTACATCTAATTTTTAAAATAAAAAAAGGTGAGAAAAAATTTAAAAGATAAAAGCATTAAAATAAAAGCAGAAAAAAGTGTTGAAACAGGAAAAATATAAATTGCCAGAAGAAATATCAGAGCAAATAAAATACAAATATAAGGCTAAGAAACAGTGTTATTTTTATTTTAGATTTGTATTATTTTTGATGAAAATATACACAGCAAAACATAGACCCATTGAACAATTTCTCCATGTACAATTCAGTGAAGTTTAATTCCATTCTTCATGTTGTATCATCATTCTTACTATCTCTTCCCATATTATTTTACCACCATTGTCTTAGACACACTGTTCCCTAAACTTCTCATCTGTGCTTTAGAGTTACTATTGTCAGTTTGATCATGTATATATAATTCTTT